TCACTGCAGTTAGCTACAGAGCAAAACCAGCAGAGTAGGTATACAGGCAGCTATTAATGGGCCACCAGTGGTTTGTCCCACAGTCTCTGAGACACTGAGAGCCCAATAGTGGACTAGACCCTGACAGTTACTAGGCCAGCAGAGTAGTGATTACAGAGGTTGACAGATAAAAAATTCCAACAAGTTTTATCTATGATAACTATACGGGCAACTTACTAACTACATATATACTTTTTAATTTAAATGTTTGATTATAGGAAAGTTAAAATATATATAAAAATAGAACACTATGATGAATCCCATGTACCATTACTGAGTTTCAATAATTAGCCAATCATGTTTCATTTATACCTTCTACCCACTTACTGGTGCCCATATTATTCTGAAACAAGTTCTAGATCATATCACTTCACCTATAAATATCTCAATACTAGTGGCCTGGTGCACAGATTCATGCACATTGGGAGAAAATTAATTAGAAGAAATATTTTAATATTGCTGATATAACAACAAAGACATGAAAACAACAAAAAGATAAAAAACAACAAAAACATGATATAAAAAACATCAATAAAAACAGTGACTGATAAATTGATTAAACTTATTCTAATATCTCCCTGTATACCACATTAAAAGTAAAAACACTTTCAGAGTGCTTGACTAATTTCCCTTGCGATGAAGTATTTACAACTTTAACGTCATACGCTCTTCGAACTCGAGAGAAAGCAACATATAACTCCATTTCGTCGGAGGAATTTAGGGATAGGCAAAACTGACATGTAACACCACATGTGTTACATTCCACCACAACTGTGTTCGCTAACTGCATCCTCATTTACCTCATTTTCGCTATGAAGGCAGTTCCTATCAGTACTGGTAGTACTTGTTGATGACTGTTCTTCATACATTTTCTGTCGACGACGCCGGCTTCTTTCGGCTTCAGAGGTACGTTGTGCCAATCGTTGTTCTTCAGACATATTCTGTAGACGTTGTCGCTTTCTTTCAGCTGCAGAGTTACGTAGTGCCAACCGTTGCTCTTCAGACATCATCTGTCGACGACGCCGGCTTCTTTCAGCTTCAGAGGTACGTTGTGCCAATCGCTGTTCTTCAGACATATTCTGTAGACGACGTCGCTTTCTTTCGGCTGCAGAGGTACGTTGTGCCAATCGTTGTTCTTCAGACATATTCTGTCGACGACGCCGGCTTCTCTCGGCTTCAGAGGTACGTTGTGCCAATCGTTCTTCTTCAGACATATTCTGTAGACGCTGTCGCCTTCTCTCGGATGGAGAAACATATGGTGGCAATTCTTGGTCATCAGGCATATTATATCGACGACGACGCTTTATTTGGGGATTGTCCTCGACAATTAGTCTGACAAGAGTCCTCTTTGTGCCGTCTTTGTTCTGTGCCCCGCTGTGCTTAACAACAGAAGCATAGAGAGCGATGGGCACTGGAGCTGAGACTGGCTCCTGGCTCACAGAAACTGTAGTCGTCTTATCCACTGAATTATCGTCTTCAACTTCAGAATCCTCAATGACATCACTGATTTTCTGCCATGGCTCCAGCTCCTCCTCCTCACATTCCATAAACAGGTCCGCGTCGGCCATGCTCTCGGTGTCCGCCATGCCCTCGTGGTCGCTGCTGGTCGTCTGACCTGGAGAAGGCACCAAAGAAGGCGCCAGAGAAGGCGCTGTCGCCTTAAAGGGACCTGCACTCGGAGAAGGGGGTGGGAGCAGGGGAGGGGACAGGGGAAGAGGGAACTGTTGAAAGCTCATCTCCCTGAGGGTTCGAGGAAACCTCCCTCGGGCCCTGAGGGTGTGAGGAAACCTCCCTCGAGTTCCAGTGATTTGGGATGGATTTCCCCCCACCCCCAGGGGGGCAAGGGGGCCGAGGGAGGGGGTGGGAGGGCCAAGGAATGTGGCTCCGTGTAGGAGCTCTTGAGAGGTTTCTTGTGGCCCTTTTTATGTGACTTTTACCTGGTTTAAAATTTTTGGCACATGAAAAAATATTCAACATTATTAGCTACCAGGGAAATGCATATCAAAACCTCAATGACCTCTCACTTCAACCCAGTAAGATAGCTATAATGAAAAAGACAAGTATTGGTGAGGATGTGGAAAAATCAGAACTGCTTTTGGAAATGTGAAATGGTAGAACAGCTGTGGAAAACAGTCTGGCAGTTCCTCAAAGGTTAACTATAGAGTTACCATATGATCCACTAATTTTACTCCTTAGGTGGAAAACAAATGGGAACATATGACCACACATAAACTTGTACACAAATGTTCATAGCAGATTATTCATAATAGATGAAAAGTGGGAACTGCCCGAATGTCTACCAACTGATAAACAATAAATAGCATGTGGTATACCCACATAATGGAATAGTATAAGGCTATAAAAAGAAATGAAATACTGATACATATTACGACATAGATAAATTCTGAAAATATTTGTTTTTATTTTCTTTATTGATTTTGGAGAGAAAGAGAGAAACATTGATTTGTTGTTCCATTTATTTATGCATTCATTGGATAATTCTTATATGTGCCCTGACTGAGATTGAACTCACAAACTTGGTGTATCGGGATGATGCTCTACCCAAACTGAGCTACCTGGTGAGGGTCTTGAAAAATATTATTTCATGAGAAAGAAGCCAGTCTTAAAAGACCACAAATTATATAATTCCATTTAAATGAAGCATCCAGAATAGGCAAATCTAGAGATAAAAAGTAGATCAGTGGCTGTCTAGGGATGGGGGAGAGTTTGGGAGAAATGGAGAATGCTATCAGTACAGGGTTTCTCACTGGGATGATGATAATGCTCCAAAATTAATAGTGATTTTGCACAATTCAGTGAATATACTAAAAACTATTAAACTGTACACTTTACACAAGTGAATTTTATAATTTGAATAAAATCTCAATAAAACTTATAAAACAACAACAAAAATCTTCCTTACCTTATGTTTAAATGGTAAACACCGCTGAAGTTTTACTCTTAAGCACAGTCCTGTGGAAGGAAAAAAAAAAGCCCCAATTATCCCATCTTACTAGTTCTTGAAAAAGCATACACCTGTGCTTAGGCATCTCCATATAATACAGTAGCTGAAAACAGCTTTGGCTCAATCCATTGTAGGTCTCCACTGAACCTCACACCATGCTAGCAACTTTAATATAGATATAGTTTTACATATTCCTTATGATAATCCAGTAAGCTAAATATTATCAATTCCACTCTACAAATTATGAAACCAAGGTCACAATGTAACTTGCCCAAGGTCAATGAACTAACCAAGTGGCAGAGTTGGGATTGGAACTCAAGACCACTACAAAGCCCAGGACCTTTCTATTATCAATTTGCCTTCAAACAAAAGTCAATTCACTCCTTAAACTCTACTGAATGCCCACAACAGGTCAGGCTACATAAAAATTTAAAAACAAGAGGCACTTAAAAAGGAGCACAAGAAAGCTCTCAAAGTTGCAATCCTAGTCTATGCCTACAAGGTACAAAGTTGATTACCTATAACAAGTTCCTCTGAAGTGCAGTTTATCACCCCAATGCCAAGACACGGTTCTCTAATTTTTTCAGTAAATTAAAAATTTTAATTTGTAAATTAAAACTGGGCTTGGGCCCTAGCCAGTTTGGCTCAGCGGATAGAGCGTTGGCCTGTGGACTCAAAGGTCCCAGGTTCGATTCTGGTCAAGGGCATGTACCTTGGTTACGGGCACATCCCCAGTGGGGAGTGTGCAGGAGGCAGCTGATCGGTGTTTCTCTCTCATCGAGGTTTCTAAACTCTCTATCCCTCTCCCTTCCTCTCTATAGAAAATCAATAAAATAAATTTTTTAAAAATAAATAAATAAAACTGGGCATGGAACAGACCCTCAGTGCCAATGTTCCACTTCTCCCCCACCTCAAAATAAGAAATGAAGCCCTGGCCAAGTGGATCAGTTGGTTGGAGCAACAACCTATACACCAAAAAGGTTGTGGTTTCGACTCCCAGTCAGGGCACATAGCTAGGTTGCAGGTTCGATACTCTGTATACCATAAAGTTACGACACATCATGCTAATTGCTACTTTGGGTCAATATCAGCTAGAATAATTCAGAATTTAAAAATCCTATAAAATGAAAGGGTAATATGCAAATTGACCCTAACCGTGGAACAACCAGGAACGACTGGTCGCTATGATGCACACTGACCACCAGGGGGCAGACGCTCAACACAGGAGCTGGCTCCTGATGGTCAGTGTGCTTCTAGAGGGGAGCACCGCTCAGCCAGAAGCCAGCTCATGGCTGGCCAGCACAACGGCAGTGGCAGGAGCCTCTCCTGACTCCGCAAAAGCGCTAAGGATGTCCGACTAACAGCTTAGGCCCGGGGGGGAGCGGGCCTAAGCCGTTAGTCAGACATCCCCCAAGGGCTCCCGGGTCGCCAGAGGATGTCTGAAGGCCAGCTTAGGCCCAATTCCCCCGGGGAGCAGGCCTAAACCTTCAGTTGGACATCCCCCAAGGGGTCCCGGACTGTGAGAGGGCACAGGCTGGGCTGAGGGGACCCCCCCACACCCCCCTAGTGCACAAATTTTCGTGCACCGGGCCTCTAGTGTATATGTATATATATAAAAGCTTACCAATAAGAGTTGCCAAAGAGCAATGAGGTACTGTTGGCGTGAACCTGATAATAACCAAATAGTCCTCTTCATTTATCTCCTGAACCTCCACACAACTTTCCGTTACCACTTCCAGTTCTTCCAAAGTATTGGGCTTCTCTGGGTCCCGAATAGTTCGAATCAAATCTAAAGAATCATCACAGACAAGGTATTATGTAAAAACATGAATATTCTAAATATGGATGATTTTGCCAGTCTTAGTCAAAAAGCACACTCTTCTTTATATTTAAGGCAAGCAAATACTAGAGCAAGTCCCCATATTTCTGACAGAAATTTCCACTACCACTTTCTTTTTGAGAAAACTTTTCCTGGTTATTAGATCATTTCAGTGTCTTGGATTCAACATTGAAGTGAGAATATAAGAATGGGGAAAGCGTTACAGAAACTCAAGAGGAAGAAATAACTTTAGCTTAGGAGAATTTAACATCAGGACTTATGGAAGTGGAATCTGAATTAGGCCTTTAAAACGGGTAATATTTCAGCGGCTCTCTCTATGGAGCACGTCAAGCCTTTTCCTAGCCCCTTCCTCCCCCCAGGCACATTTTCCTTACCCCTCTCTCCTAAGCTCTAAGGGCCCTTCTTTTGCCTCTGTAACTTGTTCCTTGAGCCCACACAGCTCAGCTGACACACTTCTTCCACAGCTCACTTCTTCTACCTCTGTGACTTTCTAAATAAACTTTTGCTTGTATCTGACAAAAAATAATTTTAAAATAAAAATAAAAATAGGTAACATTTCAATAGTCAATATTTAAGGTGAAAGAAAGTAAAGAAGCAGAAATTTAGTTTGTCTGGAACCCAGCATACCAGTAAATGAAGAGATATGAGAGTTTGGGCCAAACCATGAAGGATCTTTTGGGATCACTATAGACAACAGGATGACTTCAGGAGGTTTTGAACGACGGAGTGACATGGACAGCATTACACTGTCAATTGGTAACTCATCCACTAGCTGATAGGCACAGAACTAAAGAGCAGAGTCAGGGATACCAGGTGAAAAAGTTGGGCCTAAAACAGGCATATAACAATGGTGATAGACAGAGGAAGAATTTGACAACTGGTTAAATGTAGAAGGGAAGGAAAGGGAGAAAAGGAACATGACTCCGATTTTTCTTTTAAATCCTCACCCAAGGATATGTTTATTAATGAGAGAGAGAGAGAGAGAGAGCGAGAGAGAGAGAGAGAGAGAGAGAGCGAGAGAGAGCGAGAGAGAGAGAGAGAGAGAGAGAGCGAGAGAGAGCGAGAGAGAGAGAGAGAGAGAGAGAGAAAGAGAGAGAGAGAGGGAGAGGTATCAGTTGGTTGCCTCTCATATGTGGATTGAACTCGAAACCTATGTATGTGCCCTGATGGGGAATCAAACCTGCAACCTTTTTGATACATGGGAGGATGCCTCAATCAACTGAGCCACCCCACCAGGGCGATGACTCATATTTTAAGTGTAAGTGTCTGGGAGAACACTGATAGAATAAAACTACAGCGAACACAGAAATAAATCTGGGGGCTGGGGCGAATAGTTTTAATTTTATACATGATTTTGCTTCAGAAGCAAACCAGTGGTACATTCCAGTAAGCACGTGCTTGACATAAGGTTTAAGAGAGAGCATCAGGCTAGAGCGGTTGTTGAGCCTATGAAATTCACAAGAAAGAATGAGTAGAACCGTAGTTTTCAACCTTGGCTGAACAATGGTACCACCAGGAATCCTTTAAAAAAAAATAAACCTGATGGAAGAACAAGAGGAGAACCAAGATGGTAGCAAAGGTAACTGTGGTACTTACCGCCTCCCACAACCACATAAAAATTACA